TTTCTTCCTGTGAAACGTTTTCTCTCTCTCTCACACAAACACACTCACACACAATTCCCAAAAATTCCCAGTGAGATCTTCCCAATCAACCCCCTCTCCCCTCCACCACCACTAAAAAAGCAGCTTTCTCAGATTAATCTCTCTCTCTCTCTCTCTCTCTCTCTCGCAGATAGGCCTCACTACAGAAAGAAAAAAAAGAGCAGCGGATGAGAGAATGGAAAAGAGGAGGGGACAGGGGGATGAAGGGAACAGAGAGGCGAGGAGGGGTGGATGGGGAGTGAAATGTGAAGGATTATACGTGGTTTGGGGTTGATAAATACTTATTTGTCATTCTATGGCTCTTATCTTGCTGTGCATGTTTTGTTGAGCCCTCCAGTGCACGTGTGTGTGTGTGTGTGTGTGTGTGTGTGTAAGGGAGAGAAAGAGCGAGCAAGAGCAACGGGGGGTGGAGGGTGTCGGGAGTGTATGTTGTACAACTGTGTGTTTGACAGTGTCTGTCACTCGGCTTTAGAGTCCAAGCTACTGTGTTCAGAGGAAAGCAGAGGGTATTAATGATCCACACACACACACACACACACACACACACACACACACACACACACAGTCGAATGGTTTCAGAGAGATGTTAAGTAAATGGGCAAAATAACGGATGAGACAGCGTCTCTCTGTGTGTGTGTGTGTGTGTGTGTTTGTGCGGCTGCCTCTCTCGTGAGGAAGCAGATCTCATTGGGAGCCACTGACCCCATTATGATAGAAAACCCTCCTCTCTCTCTCTTTCTCTCTGCCGTCTCTCACGCTATCACTTTCTCTCATCCTCCACCTCTCCGCTCCATCCCTGAAACTAACTGGCTGCAGTTCCTCTCCCCACCAGAAGAGGTCAGGCTCATTCCTCTTTATGAAAAGGAAGCCGAAGACGAAGGAGAGGAGAGGACAGAAGGACCCTGGTGTTACATGTCAATTATGAGACATTATAAGTGTGAATGGAGAGAGAGAGAAAAAAGAGACTATGACCCTGTGATGGACTGTAAAACACACTCTGTGTGTGTGTGTGTGTGTGTGTGTGTGTGTGTGTCACTCTCTTTTTTGGGGACCTCCTTATGGGGACAAAAGCAAAGTCACCATAATGTAAATTATTACATTCCAAGGTGTGAAACAACATTTGAGTAAGTCTCTAGGAAATGAATGCAGTTCTACATCATGTCAGCTAGAGTCATGAAGACGTGTGTGTGTGTGTGTGTGTGTGTGTGTGTGTGTGTGTGTGTGTGTTTTCCCTAAGGTTCTTTGGGTCCTAGTGCTAGTGTATTGATTTTTAGAAAGAGTGAGGGATGGAAAAGAAGGACAGAGGAAGATGAAGAAGAGGGATGGATGGATGGAGGGAGGGAGGGAGGGAGGCCACAGTTGGTCCCTAGAGGAGCCTGCAGCGCTGCAGTGGACTGCTGGAAATAGCCCTGAGGAGAGAGAGGGAGGAAGAGGGGTGAAGAGGAAGGGAGGGATGAGAGAGGAATGCAATGGACAAGTGGATGACAGCCTGCCATGCTACACACCCACACACCCACACACACACACACACACACACACACACCTCCTGGTTACTACTCTTCATTTA